CCCCCCCCCCCCCCCCCCGCACGCCCACCACCACGTCTAATAGCGCTGTTGCTCTGGAAGGGTGCACCAAAGAGACTACTCCTAAAAGGCTTGCTACGAGGCTTTAATAATCAGAAGCTAACCGACCGCAGAAACCACGATTCCCGAAAAGCCCACGATTTCTCCGAAGAGGTGGGCCATTGGTGTTTCTTCCCACCGAGAACCTTTACCACACACGGTCCATAGGGGGTATCCTCCGTCATACTCTCACCAGCAGATAGCTAGTCCGAGCACTCATTCTACCTTATCTTCATGCTTTGTACAGCGGGTCATCGCCGTCTGCTGTAACACCACGCTAGGACCCCGAGGAAGGGAACGCGGGGAGACGAGCGTTCTATCGCCTTGTCTTCGAACTACACCACACAGCATCCCATCGCCTTCCAAATGGAGCACCCCATCGCCCTGTTAACAGAGCGTCCCATCGCCTGCCTTCCAAATAGAGCATCCCACCCCTTGCTTTCTAGAGCATCTCATCATCGTCACCATCTTCTTCCGCGTGCTGCTCATCTCCCTGTCCCTCTTGAGGACCTATCGATGGTGTGATGACACACTTGGCCTTGGCATCGATGTCTTCGATACTAACGCCGCCGTTTCTTCGGAGCCTGGACTGGAAGAGCACCTGTTGGTTGTTCATGTCGCATTCGTCGTGCTTTCGTTTACCAAATGTACAACCAATCTGGCATGCACCCTGATTACGTCTGTGTTATGGTGACAGTCCCCCCATACACCCTACAGGGTAAGATATTAGGTTCCTCCCCAAGAGGTTGGTCAGCATAAAACAAACGGAAACGAGTGGCAACAGCACACCATCCCGGGGTTCGTGAGAGAGAGAGAAGCTAAGCGAAACTGGCCTCACGTTACAGAACACCCTCTTGTTGATCGGTGGGAAAACAACGGGACATGAGGGTCCAATGTCTTATATTTGGTGAAAATCTGACTCTTCGTTTTGTACCGAACCTCCAATTTTCCAACGCAGGCGGTGCGTTCTACATGAAAACGTGGTACTGGTTCCAACAGCATCGTGTCGCACACATAAACAAGTACCTCGAAAATGCCGTCATGGGTTGAAATTAGAAATTTAGCGGGTACAGAACCTTTGACCGGTCCAGCACTGCTCAAACACGCACCGCCATGTCTTGCCTCGAACATTAACGTTGTTTGGTTGGGACAGCAGTGCAGCCGGTCGTAGTTGCCGGCGGCCTTGAGTTCGATGGCAAAAGAGTAACAGTCGTCGTTATGACTGGCAGAGCTTTGCATCGCCTACACCACCACCACAACCACAACAAACAACAAACAACAAACAACAAACAAACGACAACAACAACAACAACAACAACAAACAACAAACAACAAACAACAAACAAAGAATACAACAACAACAAACAAACGACAACAACAACAACAACAACGTCGTCATCATCACACTACATCACCTTACTCCACGTGTCCGCCATAGGCCGCAACTTGCTGCAGCGCTTGTCGAACCGAAGCCCCTGCACTGACCCCCTCAGCGCACCCCCCCCCCCTCCAGTGGCCGCCGCCGCCTCCATCGCCGCCGTGCCTCCCGCTGATTGGTCGAGCAGTTCCTCCTCGGCACCCGTCAGCTTGAACCGCAGCAAGTCATTCGCCTTCGCCTGCTTTGGCAGACGTGATGGGGGCTCCGCGGATTGGAAATCATGGTTCTCGGGGGGTACCCGACAGAGTTACTGGTGGGTGGTGGGGGATCAGTAGATTGGAAAGCGCGGTTCTTGGGGGGTACCCGACGAGGTATGGCGGGTCATGGGGGCTCCGCTGATCGGAAATCGCGGTTCTCGGGGGGTACCCGACATGGGCACATGCTACACTCAGCGTCAAGAAGCAGCGTCGAGAACCAACAGAGTATTGAGCGTGATATCGCAAGAGCGGCCAATTAAGGACGTGCGTCGCCATACAGTATACGATTTTCCGCACGTGACCTAAGATATCACACCCCCTGGGCCAACTCTCAAAGCTCCACTACTCCATGAAGAGGACACCAAAAATCAAACGATAATACGTTTTTCGGAAAACTCTCCTCTCTCCCTCCTCCCCCCCCCCCCTCTCTCTCTCTCTCGACCAAACGTTTCCCACGCCGCTATTTTCGGCACCCACACTCTTTCTGCTAACTACTGCTTGTACTCGAAATCGTTCCAGGGGGGGTGATTCCTTACGTATGCAACCTACGGCGGTAGTAGCATCTCACCTGCGGGACGTACGTAGGGCTCCCTTCCGGCCCCACCTCCCCCACACACACGCCGTCCGCGGTTATCAGTGGGTATTTCGCCGCACCGCCACCGCCACCACCACCACCCCGCTGATCGCCACCGGTACCCGTGGCAGCGAACGCTCCTTTGTGGGGGCCGTCCAAAAGCGAAACCGTTCGAGGGCTGTTCGAGTGATCCGCCGAACCGGCATCAGTCTCGCCGCCTCTTGAGAGCTCTCTCTCTTCCTCCGACTCTGCGCCGCTGCGGTCTCCTACTACCTTCAGCACCACAGCCTGAGAGCACCGCGGGACGTCGACGACGCGCATGCTTTTCTGAGACAACGGTTGGTTGCAATCCTTTGCTCATAGGGCTTGGTTTTCCGAGTGAAACTGGGGGGGGGGGGGGGGGGGGGGTTCTG